ACATACTATACTATGACTTTTTTTCATGATTTTGGATGACATACTATACTATGACTTTTTTTCATGATTTTGGACGACATACTATACTATGACTTTTTTTCATGATTTTGGATGACATACTATACTATGACATTTTTTCATGATTTGGGACGACATACTATATTATGAAGTTTTTTTCATGATTTCCGTTGACATACTATACTATACTATACTATACTATACTATGACTTTTCTTTCATGGTTTTTGATGACATACTATACTATGATTTTTTTTCATGATTTGGGACAACATACTATACTATGACATTTTTTCATGGTTTTGGACGACATACTTTACTATGACTTTTTTCATGATTTGGGACGACATACTATACTATGACTTTTTTTCATGATTTGGGACGACATACTATACTATGACTTTTTTCATGATTTGGGACAAAATATTATACTATGACCTTTTGACAAGGTTCTGAACGACATATTATACTATTGCTATTTTGACATACCATAACATGACATTTTTACAATTATAAATATATATATACTATATACTATTTCTTTTTTAGTGTTTTTTGACATGCTATGCTATGAGTTATTATGTGATATATTATTCTATGAGGCTTAATACTTTCCTGACATAGTATATTATGACTCTTTAGCGATACTATTCTTTTATAATATGCTATACAATGACTTTTTGATGACTTTACTATAGTATGATTTTATTTGTCCTTTAATGACATACTATACTATGTCTTTTTCACGTCACACTATAATATGACTTTTCTGACATACCATTGTATCATTATGGTATGCTATATGACTTTTTTATTATGTACTAGACTATGACTTTGCTTAATGGCATACTACACTAAGATGTTTTAATAACACTTTCAGACATAATATACAATAACATCTTTAAAACATGCAATACTGCAACTGTTTATGAATATTTATGTCACAATATTGCATTTATTCATGACTTACTACACTACGTCATTTTTTTATGACACAGTATTCTAAGAATTTCTTATCACTTATCTAGTGAAAATAATACATGCTTTTCCCAGTTTTTTTTTTTTTTTTTTTTTTAACATAATTCTAAATTTACCAACTTTCAGAGGATATTTAGGAGGTGAACAATTTTAATTATTTTAAGTCATTTTTATATTGGGGAATAATAATTTGCAAAAATTATAAAAGGTTACTCAATACTTAAAATAATCACTACTTACAGGCCTAAGGTCTGTAGAATGTCAGTTAGTTTGCTAATTTGTTTAGACTGCCACTATTACGGTATTATTACTGCATCACCACCCTCTTGACCTTCTGTTTGCCTTTCGGCCTCTGACTCACCTTCCCTTCCTGGCCAACACTTTCTGAGACTCTGGGTAGTGGACCAGGATGTCAAACAGATCTTTCTTCTCCAGCACAAAGAGATTAGCAAAGCCGTAGGCCTTGACATTAGCTGTCCGCCTGTTCCCTCCATCTTTGGACGACTGCAACAGACTAAGAAATAAGAACATTTTATGACTGAAAGTTCCCCAGACAGTGTTCTTTGTTTGTGGATTTTAATCTATTATCTTCTAATTAGGAGCATTACATCGTTACACATTAAACGCCTCTGCTGATGTTTATCAAAGTGTAAAAATTTAAATTTACAATGCTCTGAGATTTCTGTCGTTAGACTGTGTATTCAGTCTGAAAATAACAAAGGGTGAAATTTTTCTCACCTGATTTCTCCAAACACACAACCAGCCTTCAGTGTGACAAACACAATACTGTTGTCAGGTCCTCCCACCACCTGCACCGCTCCACTTTTAATGATGTACATCTCTTTACCGATGTCCCCCTGCAGAGAGGGCAAAGTCACAAACAAATGCCGAAAAACTACAAATGCTGTACAGAAGACTAGACAGCAGATATTTACACAAAGGCTGTACTTAAGGGTTTTGAAGGATGATTGATTCAAATAAAACGTTCACATCTGGAATCTAGGAGAGTGATAATAAGAACATGAACTCACTTTTTTTACGACAAAGTCTCCAGGTAAATAGACAATAGACTTCAGCCTGAGTAACATGTCTACTAACATCTGCTGGTCACAGCCCTGTGGGACAAAAGACATTTGACTGACTCATTGTCCAAACTGCAGGATTCATGTTTTTTTGATTCATGTTTTGTGGCGTCTTGAAAAGGCACCTTGAAAAGATCAATCTTCTGAAAGGTGGCCAGGTTGATGTCAACAGCGATGGCAGTCCTCATCACCAGAGGCATCTTATCCAGCAGCTCGGACTCATCTGAAAGCATCAGATTAAACAGAAAAGATTATTGTGGGGAATAAGTGAGTGCCAAATAAGTCTGGAGCTACAGAGGGCAGTAGTGCCCCTTTTTGAAGGTGATATAGGACATGTGAAGGACTGAGTGGTTTGGTCAGTTTCAAGGCTTTCAAAGTAACACTTTGTCCCGTATTACTGACCCAGCATGCCCTGAGCGTCCCAGGTGTAGGTGTACCAAGTGCGGACTCGGTTTTGAACCAAAGAGGGGATGCGGTTGTTCACCATGTAGGCCACACAGCCATCCATGGAGGATCGGAAGTAGGTCTGTCCTGCTGTGGCTGCACCGATGACATCTCTCATCTGAGGCAAGATGATGGTGAGAATCAAAACATGACCTGAGGAAAACTTTGATTAATTGGTTAACTTCTGCTGTCAGCTGGGGTTTGTTGTTAAAATGCTACATTTAGCACATTTAACAAGGTTTTTGACAGTCAAGACTCCACAGGGAACCAGTGAAATACAACAATGGGTGGAATGACGGATGATGGGATGTTAGTGAATATACTACGGTTACATGACTGAGGATTGTCAGTTATTTCTAACACGACAGGTGTCATTCATGTGTCACTACATCACTACACTGATGAGACAACTGGGAAAAGATATGCTAATTTAGAGATGCTAATTTCTACCAGGTGTCCAGAGGAAGTGAGAACGCCGGGACTCATGCTACGGGCAGGTTGTGTCTCTGTTACCTGTCCAATCAAACTGGAGAACACAAAGACGCCCACGAAAAAGTTACTCATCTGAAAGCCAATCTCAAAGACGGTATGGGGTTCGCTAAGACCCCCGATGTTGATCAGACTGCGGACAGCATGGTAGTAACAACGCAGGTACCTGTGGAGACGATAGGGGCGTTAGAGGGGCTGTCACAAACAACGCTATGTAGATAGATGTATGTGTGTGTGCATGTGTTTGGGAGGAATTATTGTTATTTCTCCTTTTTTTTCCAAGTTTGATTCCCTTGATGTCTTGCTGCAAAATCCAAAATGCAAAATGCCAAAAAAAAAACCCTTGCAAAATAAAAGAAAAGAAAGACGAAAAAACAAGTTGCCCAAAAGCCACACAAAAAAAAAGATTAAAGATAATATTACAAATGAACTACCTGGCCGAGAATGATGGACATAAACAATGCCCCAAAAAGGTAGTTAGTCATCTGAAAGATGTGTTCGAACATGGTCTCTGGAAATGGCAACTCAGCGATCATCAGCAGGGACTTCTCCGCATAGAAGAAGCAGCTGAGGTAACTGCAGCAGCAGCAGAGATGGAACATACAGGACATTTTTAATTTGTAAATCTCTGTGTGTGTCTCAAAGATGAAAACACCTGACACTCTGCTGCAGTGCAGCAAGCATTGGAAGGATTCTAAAAGCTTTGTGTTGTCTTTGATATTCATGTCACATTTTGCCATATATGATCAACACAGCAGGTTTTTTGTCTTTAACAGCAAACAGCAAAGATAACCTTTTTAACTCTAACTCAACGTAAAAACATAATTACATGAAGCTATTTTTAACAAATACGCAAACATAATTTATTAAAATGATATTGCTTGGTTTTGCTTGGACTTTCTGTAAAAATAAATAATTAAATAAGTAAAAAAGAGAATTTTTTTTCCCAGGATCATTTTTCTATCTTTGTGTGTTTGTTTAGACTGCATAGAGAAATTAAAACTCACCTGGAAGAAAATAAGATTGCTTTCAGGCCTGTTTAGAACTTTGGGTGGAGGTGCACTTCAGCCTCTTGTGGCCAAAATGAGCATTACAACAACAAACCAACCTTTAAAAATGATCCTAGCAAAACTGTTTTTTTTTCACATGGCAAAAAAATTAAAAGAACTAAGAAAAAAAAACTTTTTAAGTCATAAAAAGAAAGAGGATAAAGAGAATTTAGATCAGACTTAGAAAATGGATAAACATATTTTTCACCCACCTGCCTCTCAGGGCCTCCCTATGGTAATTTACTAGTAGTGGTGACTGTAGTAATAGTATAGTAAATTATAGTCAGAAAGAGCACATTAAATGTTCTTAGAACAATGTTTAAGATACGGAAGTGTATTGCATTCACTTGACAAATAAAAAAAGCCCTGTTTTTCTGAGTAATTTTTTCCCTGTTTTTCGTGGTAATTTTTTTTCTGTTTTTCGGGGTAATTTTTTTTCCTGAACGAGGAGACGAGATACTTCAAAATCTCGGGAGAAGCTCCCATCTGGCACCTGCAAATGACCGGTGCCTGCGTAAAGTCGACAAACTAATGATAACACCATCTATATGACGTTAAGACAAGAGTATCTCCCAGTGTCTCAAACCCAAAACAAAGTGAAACTGGATTAAACTAAACAAGCGGGTCATGTTTGCTTCCATTATATCGAGCTCTCAAGAAAGGAATGCAAACGTCTGTTGTTCTATTGCTCTCTTAACTCAGAAAAAAATACTCAGAAAAACAGAAAAAAATTACCCTGAGAAATTTAAAAAAATACCGCGAAAAACAGAAACAAAATTCCCTCGATAAACAGAAAAAAAATTACCACAAAAAACAGAAAATATTACACCGTAAAACAGAAAAATAAAAGAATTACTCCGAAAAACAGAAGAAATTACTCAATTAAACAGATTTTTTAAAAATTTGTCAGGTGAATGCAATACGCTTCCGTATTAAGAAGAGTGCAATCAGGAGAAAAAACAAACAAGAATGTGATTCACTCAAACACAAGTAAGGATATAAAGGTTTTTTACTTACGCACTGCCCAGACCAGAGTAGACCCATTTAGTTGTCCCAATGCCCTGGTAGTCTGACGCCACGTAATAGAAGCAGGCGTTGATATGGAGCATGAAGAGGAGATAGCCGATGGTCCGAATCACTCTGATGGAAAAATAAAGAGAAGTTTGTCTCTTTCTCAGTTTCTTTTTCCACATCTTCATGAAGTTAAAGGGGAGTTTCTGTCTGGCCTAGTCTAGTCTTTATTTTAATGATGCATGTATGACAACAACAAAGATGGCATTATTATTATTAACTGTGACTGACCTCCAGATGTACGCCTTGGCCATGATGCTCTCTAGACGATCGCTGAACTCAAAAAACGTATCTGCCTTGAGAATGAGCATGAAAATGTCAGCCAAGGTCACCACAGGAAGGAAACAAAGTCACTACTGTCTTTCACAGCAGAGCTAACACCCAGTAAATTCACCTTCAGGAGGCGATTGGCTCTGAAAATGGATTTGAATCCAAACTGGACGTACAGCAGGTCGAATGGGATGAGGGAGACCATGTCCATCTGTTCGGGAGAGACACATGTGTGAGGTCACTGACATGAGTTTGTAGGTTCAAAGTAGGGCTGCACAATCTCCGTAGGGCTCCGTCTGATTGGCCAAATATATTGACATGTAGCGTGTGAATGCATTCAACATACTAATTATTGCGGTTCAGATACCATGTTGATACTGTGATGAAGGTAAATGTTGGACAGACTGTGCAGGCCTATAGTTTAAAGAATATTCCAGTACCATGAATCTATCCGACTCTCTGTAGTTCTTCCTCGTCATGGCTCTGTCTTTCTGAAAGAAAAAGAATAAATAAATCGTAAAGTCATTCTCAGCATCAGACTCCATCTCCTAGGGTCACATCAGACTTACTATGATGTCTCCTCCTTTGACGAACTGTTTGCGTGACTGGAAGATGACGGAGTCTACGAGGTAGATGAGGTCTGCCAGCACATCCAGGGCGAACCAATAAGGGATGGTGTCCTCAGTGTGGTATGGGAAACACAGACGGGCCGTCATAAACCAGGTGTTGTAGTTGAAGGCCAGAGTCACCAAGCTCAGCCAGGCGATGTAGCGGCGGTCTGTAAAGGGGTCCATGGTGTTTCCCAGCACTGGGTCCATCATGTCCTCAACTGGCTTCAGCATAGTGTCCACTGCGTACCAGGCAGCTTCTCTTAGCTTGGTCTTTATGTCCTTCTCCTCCTTCTTCTCTTCTTTACCCTCTGCTTTCTTTTTCTCCTCCTCCTCTTTCTTCTTCTGCTCGGCCTCCTTCTTCTTCTTCTCCTGCTCCTCTTTCTTCTTCTTCTCAGCCTCCTCCTTTTTTATCCGGTCCTCCTCTGCTTGTCTTTTCCTCTCCTCTATGACCTCTGCGTAGTTGTCTTTGCGCAGCAGGGGTGCTGACAGAACAGTATTACGACTCAGAGATGTGTGATGCAATTTAAATATTTGTGGCTTATGAAGAACTAATGATAACTATCATCAGTTTTTGTGCTTCCTAACACAGCTGAAGTGAAGCTCCAATAATTCTGTGTTTGTACTCACTGACAGGAGGGGTGATCTCTGGGGATGAAGCATGGGGATCAATCACTTTGTCCTTATAGAGCTGCAGTCTCTCCCTCATGCGTGTGACGATGGCTCTGAGCTGCTCGTCAGAGTACTTGTTGATGACGATGGGTGGAGGTGGAGGAGGTGCCTCCTCTTGTCTGAAATTGGAAAATACATCAGGAAATTTAGGATTTTCCTAAAAAACAATGTATAGGCTCAGACAGAAGTGATCATGCTCAATCAAATTAGCATCGTTCAGCTCATTGTTTTGGTTTTCTACACCACAACTTTTTTGCTCTGGTTCGCTCTCACCTCTCTCTTAGCACGGCTGGCCACAGCAGGCACCTGTTGCTTTAAATAAAATCTCTAAAACCCACTGTGCACACCCTGCTCAGCACCAAACAGCATCTGTCACAGTTATTTACTAGCTGGTGAATATGGTGGAGCATTTAGCAGCTAAAGTAGAGACCAGAAACAGAGGTGACATTGGGTCTTGGGCTGCTCCCATCTTATCTATGTGCTGGACAGTATTCTTTGAACATAGGACTTGTAAGTCGTCTGTACCAAAAGTTCGTACAAAGAGTGGAAAGAGTGGTTTTTATATATTCCACACCGTCAGACTGGAATTTATTTGCAAAGTGGTCTAAAACTCAATGAGCCCATCTCATCAAATGCCTTTAAATCTATTTTGAAAGACGGCCTGTGCTGCATTTGGTTCCCCCAAAGTCTGTTCTTCTGTTCTTTTTGTTTACATGTACTTGTCATGTACATGTCGTGCTGCTGACTATCTTAGCCAGGACTCCTCTGAAAAAAAGATGTTTAATTTGAATCAACTGATCCTGGTTAAATAAATAAATAAATAAAATATCTAGTTAAGCTCATATGTCACTGTTGTGTTCACAGTTTTTTTTCTGCTGCCTGCAAGTGGCTAAAAAAATCAGTTACTGCAGGTTTAAATCTAAATGTAAATTGAAAAAAAATAATAATAATCTGAACGTTATATCATGGCTACAGGGTCATCAATCATGATTTATGATGTCAGATAAAGACATTCCTACTGTGAAATGACATTTGAAGTGGAGAGGCTCAGCTGACTGTGACACAGGCAGCTTCAGCAGCACAGACAGGACGGGGGCATCTGTGCTCATGTGGTGCCCCCTAATGGACACAATTCAGCAGTACATGTGGCTGACAGAAGGAGGTGGATGTATTTATGTCACATCATCTGAAATAAATCAGCAGTGCGTCATAACTGCCTGAAGCTCGACAGTATTTAGAAACATGTTTAACTTAAAGGTAGGGTCTGGAGGATTTTCCAGTTGCTGTTTGTAAACACACATTCAAATTCGGCCCCTCCTCTCAGGCTCAACTCTCCCGGGTGTACGGAGCCCGGTGGTACGGAAGAAGGCTTCACAGAAGAGGTTCAGGCAAGGCTCGCGCTGGTGCACGCTTGGACACGTTCGGGCACGGCATCTGCGCTCTCTCACTGGCTGGGGAAATCTCCGCCCAGAAGCGGTCCGAGCTCACAAAAACATCAAAATACAGTTAAAGGGCAGGAGCTCTGCAAACAGAGTCACCACCACACATGAGTAGAAGCCCATAGGTGATGATTAAGCAGGATTTCATTTGTATATGTCTATGTTTTGTTGTGTTTGAAAATCCTCCAGATCCTACCTTTAAGCACTTTTAATCAAATGAAAGACAATAAAAAAATGTTTTAGTAGTTTACAACAGGCTAAACAGAGAGGCACAAAGATGACACCGCCTTGTTTCCACTGACAGTGTAGGATGTGGTCTTTATAACAATACTGTGTGTGCACTGTGCTGATGTAGAGAGCTGTCCTCCACAGTGGGGCGCTCCACGTGAGTTTGGGGTACAAAGTGAAAGAGAGTGGGCATTACTACTGAGCTCAAAGGTGAGTGAGATGCTTCTCTCCTTTGGCCCAAACTTTACCTGAGTCTACCCTCAGGTGGTAACGGGTGTCAGTACTATACCAAAAGTGTTTGCTGGAAACAGGGCTTATGATTCGAGGCTAAAGCTAGCTACATAAACATGAGTCTCCTACCCCAGGTTAGGTTTCTCTTAAGCCTGAAAACTGAGCCAAGAGGAAGTGCATAAGTCTACTATTCTGTCACACAACTTTAATTAGAATATGCTCACATGTTTTTTTTTCCCAAATCACCAAAACAAGAGCAACAAAACCTGCATACCCCATCTTTAATCAGCCAGTTTTTGCAGAGGTGCACAAGATCTTTTTATAACACACCTATATCAGTCTGGCCCTGCTGCACAGCACAGTATGTAAGACAGCTGAGAGCTATTTATTCCACACGTCACTCACGATGATGGCTAACACCTCTGCCTGTGCTCCACACATGATCCACTGCTGAAACATGTACAACATGTCTCCTCATTTGGAGAAGTAACGTGTGTTTACAGCTGCGAGGATCAGCCGAATCTGTCGCCTTCATGGTTTTTATTGCCGGTCCAGAAGCAGCCCCGGTGAGCTTCTTAAACCTTAAAAGCTGAAAAGCTTTTAATCCACTTTGGGGTCATCCCCCTCCTTATATGCATGTTGCAGCAGGGGATAAAGATCTCACATGCTGCACTCATCTCTGAGGGCTCTCTCTGTCCTGCTCTGTCATCTCACCAGGGAATCTGATTAATTAGTGTCCACTGGGTGATTAATCTGATACTGGTTTGTGGTGTCAGTGTCTTGGCAGGCGTGGGTTTTGGTAAGTGAAAGTGGAGGTTGGAGGCTCGAGGGATAAATACACAACATCTACTCTCTTTAATTGCCCATGCTATATATATCTAATGTCTACCCTGCAATTAGACGTGCGTGAACAAAGCAGGTAGGAGAAACACTGGGTGATGATGATGATGATGATGGTGTGACCGTTGGTAAAATAATGCAGCTACAGAAAGGTGTAGGTGTTACCCCTCAGGTTTGGCTTGATCAGGGTTAGCTGGAGCTGCTGCGGGGGCTGGTGCTGGAGCAGAGGCTGGTGCCGGAGCCAGAGCTGGAGCTGGAGCTGGGGCCGCTGCTGGAGCTGGAGCTGGAGCCGGGTCTGATTTTGAGAGAGGGGAACAATCATAGTTACATTTCATCTCCACCAGATCTGATTTCTTTTGGAATGCAGGTTTTTAAACCCCTGAAATATATTGTTTTTTCTTTTGCATGTTGAATTTCATTTACACATTTGTTCCCTGTAAATCACTTTGTAACTTTGCTTTTGAAAAAAAAAACAGTGCCACACAAACAATGTCTTTTAATTACGTTTAAAGTGGGTTAGCTGAAGCATCTGGCAATGTATAGATTCTTGCGAACGTAATTCCTCTCAATCATCACTTATGACCCACTAGAAGTGTGTGGAAATGTAAACATCTGCAGAGACCCTGCTGCAAGTTGGGCAGGGACTTTATGAATTTATTTTTTACACGTTTATACATTATACTTTTTTTTTATTGTTTTCTTGAGAACAAAGAGAAAAAAAAATGAGCGAACAGCAACCTCCACCATGACACATAGTTACCTGTACATATAATAATAAATCACAAGATTGCAGAAGTATATTAAAGAACACATTATTCATAAACATAAAAGTATAATAAAAGTATAATAATAAAAAATATGATTATTAATAATAAGAATGAATAAAAAATATATATATGTTGAAAATTAAATAGACAAAATAAAATTTAAAAAGATAAAATAATAAAATAAATAGTAAAAAAAAATTAAACAAAAATAATAATAATAATGATAATAATAATAATATTAATGAATAAACAAGGTACATACCTAATGTGTGTATGAGGCCCCTCCAAGGCACATTTATTAAAATGTAAATATAAATACATATATATGTGTGAAAATTAAATAGACAAAATAAAATGAAAAGAAAGATAAAACAATATAATAAATAATAAAATAAATAATACATAAAAAATAAAATAAAACAAATACAAACAAAATCAAATATTATACAAAATCAAAATTAGCTAAATGAAGGTTGCAACAGAACTATTCAGTAGTACACAGCACCAAAAAAAAAAAAAAAAAGTCATATATAGTGAGGTCAAACGCCAAGCTGTAGGTCTTCACTTTCACCTTCAATGCTGATAGTGTTTACAAACAGTAGCCGACAATACCTGCATAGTGTACCTTCCTAGTTTCTACAAGTTTTTAAGTTCCTTGAAAAACAAATCCCTCAGAATGACACTGTCTACATGTAGTTCACGTGACTCTAAAGAATCTCAATCCAGTATCAATTATTTTACAGGGAAGTATAATTAATTATATAAACTGTAGTTTAAGAATGTGATGGGTTTTTTTTTTACATATATTACGTCCATATAGCCAGATTTGGTGCATGAGTTGCAGCTCTCAGGTTTTCAGAGACATTAAGTAAGAGAATAATTAGCTGTACTGGGTGACAGGACCGAGATGGATGACCCACCCATTGTGCTTGATGCCAGCATCGCTCTGAGACAGGTGTCCAAGCTGTGAGCAACACAATCAACAAGTCGCTGAAACTCAATTCATGCTATAGACCTCAGAGAGCAGGCACGATCACGCTCGGACAGACAATGAGCTCAAGAGAAGTCGAACGACGTGAACTTTTCATATTGATAAGCTGTCACCAGTCAGTGTGTGTTATTGTTGTGTGTTGTCTGGTGTCTTAATAATCGGATTTTCTTCTTGATCGATATCTCAGCCTTACAAGTGCTCACAGAGCTGATTACAGCTGCTCGATACTTCAGACTTTTGTTTTGAAAAGTGACAGTAATAAGCATTTGAAATGCTTTGAGCACAGCTGCAGACATTGGTGAGCTTGCATGAAAGTGTAAGGAGTGACAACATATTCCTATAGGCTTTGGTGCAAGAGACATAAAAGCTAATAAACTCAATTTGAAACATCACACAAAAGCAAAAGGGACGTGCAATATCTCAGCTTCTAAATATGCCATTTGAGCCTCCGCCTTACCCGGCGCTTTGTCCACTTTCTTGTCCTCATTCTCCTTATCGGCTGCTGGCTTCTCCTCCTACAAGACAAATCAACATTTTCCACAAAGTCAGATGCTCGGCCTCATTAGTCAAACCACGGTCATTAGAGAGACGTTTTAATTTAGAGAGCCTTTTTAAAGAAAAGTGAATTTAGCATTTGACAAATGACTCCCCTGCCTGATGGACTCCTTTAAAAACAAGCTGTGTTTGAGATGAAATGAATTTAAAAGTGCCCGTTGGGTAATGAGCGATTTCAATGAGGTCGGTGTAATGAAACAATTTTATTTGATTCTTTGTTGGCGAGAGTACTGAGCAATTGAATGGATGGAGGAGCAGATAAGAAGCCACTGCTGTGATCTTAGGGGGAAAAATGTAACCAAAGTCGCTGCATTACAGGCTGGATAAAATACTTCATTTTTTTGCGGTCATGCTCGATTTCAGTCTTGGCTGCTACTGCTGTTACTGACACAAAGTGAACAGTATGAAAGCTATTGAACGCTTTCAAGAGCATCACACAAGAATCCAATACTCTCTGAGACACTACATGAATAAAAATATCTTACAGTTTATAAAGAATATTTGTATTTACTCAACTGAATATAGAGCACACTCTTTGTTCTACCTTCAAACAGGTCTTACCTTGGCTGGAGCTGGAGCTGGAGCTGGAGCTGGAGCTGGGTCAGGGGTCCCTGAAGCCGCTGGCAACTGCGGGCCACTGAGGAGGCCCTTCAACTTGCCAAACATGTCTAAAAACCTAAAGGTGCATCCGTGTTGCTGTCTGCAAGTAACTATGTCGGGACGGTCAGACTTCCTCAGGAGCTAAAAAATCCCCCTCCTGGATTAACCCTCTCTTTTCGATCCGTCTACCTTTTCTTCTCCTGTTCTTTTAAAGCAACACGTCCTCATAACCAACTTCGCTCCGATGGTATTACTGCTTTTAGCACCACTAATACTCTTGCACAGAGAACAGCCCCCACCACCACCACCAACAGTGGCATCTAAGCCCATCACCATCTCATATAAGATCCCAATAGGCTTACAGGTGACCACTAAAGCAGGGCTGGGACACTCAAGGGCCGCCTATACAGACTGCATTTACGCCTGCACTTATAGTGAATGAAATGCGACTACTCATCATGCCTCAGCCCACATCTTGTTGAATGCTTTGCAGCATATAATGTGCTCCATACATTGGCTGTAACAACAGCGCTGAGTGTGATGAGCAAAAGTGATCAAAATGAAAGCCTTTAATTATCGTATTAACCTCTATAAACACATTTCTGCATACGTGTGCAGAATCTGTAGAAAACAGGCTGATCTGGGTATCAGACGTGTTCTGGTTTGCGTTTGTAATCCGTCTTACTATCAACCAATTTACCCACTACTAAGTCCCTCCCCCAGACGCAGGCTAACCAATCATAGCATAGTATCGGGGCGGCTCAGACCAGGGTCTGAAAACAACACAGCTGTGCTCCATTGATTTAGACTTCCATCATTTTCAGACTGGTTTTGTGGATTTGGAGCTAAATGTTGTGCCTGGGGCACGTCATGTATTAATGATACTCGTTACCTGGAGAGGTTGGAAAAAGATATACGTTTCTTCCCTGTTCCAAAACCAAAATCAAACCCTGAAAAGTGTAGGGTTAGCTAGCTAGCTACTGAAGATATAGCCTACTGAATGTATACACATGCTGCTTTTGCTTTTTAATGATTATAACAGTGAAACAAAGACCGACCCTGCTGTACAGGAACCAGTGAAGGGAAGCAGGGAAACTTTGCTCATATTCAACCAGCTGTGTGTCATCTTATTGTGTGCAGATGAACGTTGTTTGACTTCCCCTGGAGATCCCTGCCCATCCGATGGCAGAGGTCCCAGTCCTGGCCTATGGCATTTTACATTGTTTAAATTAGCCTAGCAGCTAGCAGACTTTTCCTCTACTCATATGAAGCCAGGGACAAAAGCAACATTTTACAAAGGTAATGTTAAATTTCGGCTCCATTACAACTCACAAGGTTCACTGACAAAACAACTGTCTTATACTAAACACGACTTGTTCACGAGTGAGGGTAGGATGGAGCAGATGGAGGATCTTAGCCAGAAAGCGAAGCTCTCAATTTATCGGTCGATCTACGTTCCAACCCTCACCTACGGTCAAGAGCTCTGGGTAGTGACCGAAAGAACGAGATCGCAAGTTCAAGTGGTCTAAATGAGTTTCCTCCGCAGGGTGGCTGGGCTCAGCCTTAGAGATAGGGTGAGGAGCTCGGACATCCGGGAGGGACTCGGAGTAGAGCCGCTGCTCCTCCACATCGAGAGGAGCCAGTTGAGGTGGTGCATCTGGTAAGGATGCCTTCCGGACGCCTCTCTTGGGAGGTGTTTCGGGCATGTCCAACCGGGAGGAGACCTCGGGGCCGCCCCAGGACACGCTAGAGGGATTACATCGCCTGGCTGGCCTAGGAACGTCTCGGGGTTCCCTCGGAAGAGCTGACGGAAGTGGCTGGGGAGAGGACTGTCTGGGCTTCTTTGCTGAGGCTGCTGCCCCCGCGGCCCGGACCCGGATAAGCGGAGGACGACGAGTACGAGTACGTTTTCCAAACAAATACAACATGCTAACATTATTAGCACAAGCCTATGGCATTTTACATTGTATAGATTAGCCTAGCAATGAGCAAAGATTTCCTCTGCTCATATGAAGCCAGGATAAATCACACACACACAGACTTAAAATGCTGTTTTTCTGGAGGCTTTATTGTCTTCACAATTTATTGTTTCTTATCTGTGAAATTAAAGTAAATAAAAGTTTCATTTCCACTGAGGGAAATGGTTTCAGCTGACATAAAAAGACAGGAAGTCCACGTTGCCACAACATGTAGTTACATTTCTGGGGAGGTGCACGTCAGGCTACGGCATAGGGTACAATGCGGAGCCTACACTCTAGGTACAGTTAAGTACCAGGTTTGGTTTGTGCACATGCTGTGGGCAGCACAAGAACAAAACCAAATGAGGATCCACTTATCAAAACACTGCTCCATAGCAACACCAGTGGTAACGAATAAAGTCTCTCCAGGCTCTGTGTTTCCTTTGTCCAGTGAGGTTGCTTTGTCATTGTAGCCGTCCACCAGTGCCCACCAAAACTGCACAGTGACACAGTAAATGGACACCACATCACGTACACATTAAGATGATTTCATAATCAGCATGATACATGTAGGGGGAAACTATGAGTGTGGCTGTTTCCGCCCAGAAATCTCTCTCCATTGTCATTTTCATTATCTGTGCATACTTTGCTGTTTTCATTCAGCCCTTATCTCAGAAAGACACTCATACCCTCGCTTGTCGTTAAGAATAAAATTACACCACTATCACCCACCCACTCAGCCCATATTCTGTGTTCCATTCCTCTTGTCACACTGGGGAACGACCAACAAAATGCCACGGTGACGCAGACGGGGCTTGACTCAGCCGTGGGTTTCGTGTAATGTATCTCCGAGCGTTTCTCAAGGACCATTGACTTGTCTGGCAGAAGAGAGGAGAGGATGAGTGGAGGAGGAAGCAGGCGAGTGGCGATGCACTTTCTCATGCCCCTCCATCTTTCCTTTGTCCAGTGATGCAGCGAGATAGGTCATTAGATCCTCGCCATCTCTTCCATTAATCTAATTAAGCCTCTGGGGTTTGGGTCTAGATCCTGACATCACTGTGGAAGAGCTCTCTTCATATTAAAAAGAGCAAATAATTTGTCTGGTTTGTTGTTTTACTGATGCTGAAGAAAACCCTTCACTGTACTTGTTTTGTTGTGGAACTTTCAGCACATCATCTTGAGACGGTACATGACTTATGCAAAATAGAAAAGTGACTCACGGGGATGAATGACGGCAAGTGCAATATAATACCGATAAAACCCTGACCTCTCACCTCCTCCCATGCACTCCGCCACGCTGCCCTGACACCAGCGTGTAGGCAACAGATCAGTTTCAGCTGTCAGTCAGCAGCAGAATGACAATAGACCTTGACAGTGTAACGGCTGGAGGTAAATTTATAGCCTGAAGTGGAGGAGGCTGACATCTCAGGCGGCCAGTGACACATGACTCACGCTCTAATTGGTGTCATACAGAGCTGCTCTCCACCAGGGGTCTGGAAATTATAAGAAGGCCGAACCAAGGGAGGCCAATTCATAGAGTGGCAAATGCCACAATGATTACTTCTTTAACAATGCCATAAAAATCAAGCACTGTTCAGTTACCATGTGAGGGGTCTCCCTTCAGTGCGGAGAAGTAGGAGGGAAAGTGGCAGTGATTTGTTTCTGGGAAAAAGGCAGAATGAAGGACTATTTCCGTTTACTGGAAGAGAACATTTATCAGAGTGGGTTTTCGGTTGTTTGAAATATTCAAGGCTATTTTTGTTTTTGTTTAGGGTTACATGAAGTCGGCCTAAACAACATGGTCATGTATGAAAAAGGTCTCGACATTTGAGGACAGGAGGCTTTGACTTGTAAGCCTGAATGTGTTTATATTTTGGCTGTAGCTGACTGAAACATTCAGCTTTGGTTTGACTGGATTAAACAAATTATTTTTTTTAATTAAAGGATTAAACGGCTTGTGATTGAGTATGTGTGGCCTCACATGACCACAGAAAGCACTGTGTGACTGTGTACTGTCTAATTTCAGCTCTAAGTGTTTTTGGATGTGGGCAACAACAAAGGCCCTGAAAATCTCCTCTCAGGTGTCTTAATCTCAGGTGCTGGACAGGTAATGTGCAGAGGGTTTATCTGAGGTTTTAACAGCTGGAAACAACCCTGATGAGAGCAGTGAGAGTGAAAAACCCAAACAACAACACAGCTGCAGGTAGGAAAACCAAAACAATGAGCTGAAAGATACTAAAACGTTGAGTGACCTTTTTTATATTATACATAGAGGAGACCAGTGGCAATTATAACATCTCAAATTACAAAGAAATGAGACAGAACAATAAACTTATTCTGCACATGGTCTGTGATGATTCCTCTCTGCCTGCCAAAGGACACACTGATGTCTCAGGTACAAAGTAAAAAATTTTAATCTGCAGTATTTTCTTCATCCTGTCTTAACTTAACCTTTAATGTCTTTGACTTTAAATCTACACTGTTTTGATGGCCACTCTGTTGTCTGATGTTTGTCAAATATAAGCCATGTTGTTTCTAGCGAGTAAAGTAGCTTGTGTCATGGGTGGTACATTTGTTGTAAAAGCAGATTTATATTTGGGCATCAGCTCTATGCAGACCCTACGCCGTTGTGAGCATTTATATTTGTGCGGTGGTGTGTCTGTGTCACTCTGCAGTTACACCTCCTAAACACTAGTCAGTGGTGGGGTTTCAGTGAAGTGCTGTAAAGTTGAGTTGATTCAAAACACACCCATAACACACATTAAACACACATTAAACATGGCTTAACAGCAACAATTTCAAACACAAGCACATAAATCAGCTTCACTGTAACTCGCAGCACTCACAGACAAACACTTGTCTTTATCTGGACACATTTTCCCCACAAATACAACATGCTAATGTTTTTAGCACAAGCCTATGGCATTTTCCATTGTATAAATTAGCCTAGCAGCTAGCGGACTTTTCCTCTACTCAAATGACGCCAGGGACAACAGCAACATTTAACAAAGGTAACTTTACAAAATTCAGCTCCATTACAACTCACAAGGTTCACAGACAAAACAAATGTCTTATACGAAACATGTTTTCCAAACAAATACAACATGCTAACGTTATTAGCACAAGCCTATGCCGTTTTACATTGTATAAATTAGCCTGGCAACTAGCAGAGATTTCCTCTGTTCATATGAAGCCAGGATAAATCACACACAAGACTTAAAATGCTATTTTTGTGGAGGCTTTACTGTCTTCACAATTTATTGTTTCTTATCTGTGAAATTAAAGAAAATAAAAGCTTTGTTTCCACTGAGGGAAATGGTCTCAGCTTACATAAATAGACAGGAGGTCTGCATCA